CGTGTGTGCACAGTTTGGCCTTAGAGCAGCAATAAAAAAAATAAAAATGACTAGCTTAGCCAGCTCCTTTTCCGAGTACCGGAAGCTAAACACACCACCCCCAGTTTCGCACCAAATGTCACGTACTTGAAAATAGCTGTGGTCACATTCAGCATAAGTCATCATGTTGAAAAAGACAGTACTAAATATAGAAAAACATGGTCAGTTTTAATAACTGGATGGATGTACATTTGAAAGACATAAAAATCTTACAGAATATCCTCCAATCACAGCCTGCAGATATCTCTCGATCTGCACTGAAGGCGAAACCGCACGAAAACCGCACTCTCCAAACTGGTACTGATTTGGTGTAGTAGAACCTGCACGGTCTGACTAGCAATAATTTGCATAAGGACAGGTTGACCCAAACTAAATATACGTGTAACCTTATGCGTACATGTCTGTGTACCGCTGCAGTGAAGGCTAAAGGTAACTGGACACATGTGGATACAACACAATATTTGGTATTCGACGCATCAATAATGTGTAAAGCGAAGCCTGTAAAATAATTGGCCATCTTACTTACCTTTTCAAACCTTTGCCGTGTACAATATTTAACTTTTTAATGTCAAAATAAAAAGGATATTGCAAGACCTGAACACAATCTGCGACAAGCCCACACGAGATAATAGAAAACAGAGTATCACATTGAAGTGAAATATCTAATACATACTTAAATTCACTTCTCATGTAGAGTTAAAACATTGAGAAAATAAGGAGTGCAAATTCATTCATATACTGTATGAAAGGGGTACATGACACCAGTCATCAAACAATGAAAGAACACGAAACTCAAATTTACAATTTCTTGGTGATTTATTTCATAAAGATAACTAAATGTAACAATAAAATACCCATAATGACACAAAAAATACATCACAAACAAAACATCAAAGCACATCATATCACATAATAAGCGACATTTTATAAGGTACAGGTAATTTATAAGGTACAGGTAATTTATAAGGTACAGGTAATCTATAATAGGTCTCAGGTGAGGGTCATAAAAGGAAAATACACATACTTGGGGAGGGTCATGAAAAAATGGACAGTAAATAATAAATATAAAGTGATTTTTCATTTTGTCTTTTCGGGGAGGGTCATGAAAACAATGTACACGGGCATGAGGAGGGTCATCCAAAGATATGACAAGCTTTAGGGGAGGGTAATTATTTTCAGTACTTTTGTGCATAAAGAAACCTTACCCTCACCTGACCACTAACCCGCAACATCAATATAAACAATCGTAATGTAGTTTTTGCTTTGTCTCTTGTGTTCCGAATCTGTGAACACATCTGGAAACAGAGACTGGATTGTGGCATAAAATGAGTGTTCATTTTATAAATGTTTTACATCATAATTATCATTTATTCTTTGTTCTATTTTGCTTGCTTGTCGGTTTAAGATAATTCGATACGTTGTTATTATGACAAAATGGGGAATGATACAAAACCGATTACACATATATACATCTGGGAGGTGAGCTACAAAGATCATGGGATAAAGTAGAGTTAAACACATGGTTTCTACCCCCATATTTCTGGGAGTGCAGTAATATATTTCTAAACGTTCTTTGGTTTCCATGTTTTTGTTGTTAGTTTAATGCTGCTTTGAACTATATATATATATGAAAGCATTAAGCCAACGTTTTGGTTTAGCATCACCATTTTCGTGTTTATAAAGGTCTACGACCCAGACCACTTTACTCCAACATCAGACGGACACGCCGTAAAATGGTGATGATATATATCACGGCGTGTCAGATACGCCGTAAATGGTGATGATATATATATACCACGGCGTGTCAGATACGCTGTAAATGGTGATGATATATATCACGGCGTGTCAGATACGCCGTAAATGGTGATGAGATATATATCACGGCGTGTCAGATACGCTGTAAATGGTGATGATATATATCACGGCGTGTCAGATACGCCGTAAATGGTGATGAGATATATATCACGGCGTGTCAGATACGCTGTAAATGGTGATGATATATATCACGGAGTGTCAGATACGCTGTAAATGGTGATGATATATATCACGGCGTTTCAGATACGCTGTAAATGGTGATGATATATATATCACGGCGTTTCAGATACGCTGTAAATGGTGATGATATATATATCACGGCGTGTCAGATACGCCATAAAAGGTGATGATATATATATACCACGGCGTGTCAGATACGCTGTAAATGGTGATGATATATATCACGGCGTGTCAGATACGCTGTAAATGGTGATGATATATATCACGGCGTGTCAGATACGCTGTAAATGGTGATGATATATATCACGGCGTGTCAGATACGCTGTAAATGGTGATGATATATATCACGGCGTGTCAGATACGCTGTAAATGGTGATGATATATATCACGGCGTTTCAGATACGCTGTAAATGGTGATGATATATATCACGGCGTGTCAGATACGCTGTAAATGGTGATGATATATATCACGGCGTGTCAGATACGCTGTAAATGGTGATGATATATATCACGGCGTGTCAGATACGCTGTAAATGGTGATGATATATATCACGGCGTGTCAGATACGCTGTAAATGGTGATGATATATATCACGGCGTGTCAGATACGCTGTAAATGGTGATGATATATATCACGGCGTTTCAGATACGCTGTAAATGGTGATGATATATATCACGGCGTGTCAGATACGCTGTAAATGGTGATGATATATATCACGGCGTTTCAGATACGCTGTAAATGGTGATGATATATATCACGGCGTGTCAGATACGCTGTAAATGGTGATGATATATATCACGGCGTGTCAGATACGCTGTAAATGGTGATGATATATATCACGGCGTGTCAGATACGCTGTAAATGGTGATGATATATATCACGGCGTGTCAGATACGCTGTAAATGGTGATGATATATATCACGGCGTGTCAGATACGCTGTAAATGGTGATGATATAAATCACGGCGTGTCAGATACGCTGTAAATGGTGATGATATATATCACGGCGTGTCAGATACGCTGTAAATGGTGATGATATATATCACGGCGTGTCAGATACGCTGTAAATGGTGATGATATATATCACGGCGTGTCAGATACGCTGTAAATGGTGATGATATATATATTTCACGGCGTGTCAGTTACGCTGTAAATGGTGATGATATATATCACGGCGTGTCAGATACGCCGTAAATGGTGATAATATATATCACGGCGTGTCACCCTGATGCTGGAGCAAACTGGTCCGGGTCGTAGACGTTTGTAAACAAGAAACCGGTGATGCTAAACCAAAGATTCATTATATGGGAGAATCTGGGATTCGATCTCATGATCTGCGATTCCTGACTAAAACAAACAACACCACACACCGCATCGCAGCGCGATTGACAAAAATGTATAAATGTGTACATACACAGGTTACATACACACAAACTTACTACCAGTTCTTTTCTCCACGTTCGCTACATTTGTTACACTACAAAATAGGCAATAAATTTATATTCGAAAGGATGCAACCTATCACACACACATACACGCGCACGCACGCACGCACGCACGCACGCACACACGCATATACATATGAAGTACATGCATGGACATATTCAGATAACGGATTCAAATGTTATTGTAACTGTCTGGTTTGGAAAAATAATTAACTGATTAATTATTTACAAAATTGGTAAGGAACAATTGAAATCACGGATATGACGTGTAAAAAACGAAAGTCAATATTAGGGGCTAGAATATAGTCATTGGTTGTTAGTTCATACTGCTATTAGTGTTTAAACCTATTGCATTGCATACTAGCCATATGCCAATACCATCAAAGTATCCAGGGGTAGATATAGCTTTTTCAATGTAGTTGTCATACGAACTTAACTTTTGGCGGAGACGATCTGAATAATCATGAGATACCTTTTATGTAAACAAATAAATTATTTTTGCAGAAGAATCAAAACAGTTCATGATGATCCGAACCTAGCACTTTTCTAAAGAAATGTCAAATGATGGCCGAAATTCAAAATTTTCAAGAACACACACACATCTAATTTAGTAATATTACAAAGGTCAACAAAAGACCTCAAAGTAAAGTGGTCAAAATAATGTAACAATGTATTGAGCCTCAACACATTCGTCAAATTTCATTTTACGCAAAACACGGCTAATGTTTTCTTTTGAAGATCATAAGCACGTTTTAAATCGTTAACCGTCGTTTTAGCCATTACAGTTGTCGGCTTTCGTGGGGAAAGGTGCTTCTGTCGGTATATGGTCAAGACAAAAGGGTAAAATATCACACAACTCCATCATGATTGTTGCAAATCTGCGTCAGTCACGACGCCCTTCTAACAGAGATAAGATGACGGTGGTCCAATCACTGCACTGGTGATCACTTTTCGCGGAAACACAAACCCTGACAACAACCTGGAATATAGGCAACAAAAGAAGGTTATACGTAAACATTATCAGCGGAATAAAACTGGATATGTTGTTTCTTTAAAAAACAACATGTTAGCATAAATTTGAATCACATGATTTGTTCACGTTTTATATATCTTAGTGTGAGTTTTTCGTTTTACATATTTTACTTTACGACCATACATTCCTAGATCCAGAAGAGTCAGTGTCCTCTGATACCACTATACCCAATCAATTAATCCGAGGTTTGTTAACATTGTCTTCAAAAACCTTTCCGTCGTACTTACATTCCGCCGCATCCAAACACATATGGCATTAGGGTGTATCTGCAGTGTTTCGGGGACAGCCGTGCAATCGGCAAGATAAGCCATGACCTGTTCAATCAGCTTCATTTTATCACGAACTGAGTTCAGGTGAAGCAGCAGGTCCTCCAGAAGTCGAAAGTTAGGGTCAAGTTCATCTTCTTTCACGAACACATCTTTACGTCTCGATGTGGATGCCAAACCTGTGTAAACAAAAACATAACATATTATACGGTCAATTTATTGAAATACAAGCAACAAAACCCTTTCATAATCATAAGAAATCTCTTCAAAAAGCATAGTCTATTGTACAATTCCGACTACAGCATAAGCCTGTGTTTATGAATCACTATAAAAAAATGATGATACCAGGTGTTCGCGAAAATGTAAGTGTATCCTGCCCCACCGGTGGCTACCGTCACAAACACATGCAAAAGAAAGTCAATTGATCGCCTTAAAAAAACGGGAACATATGGTACAAATCAGGGACAATAGGGAACTGCATCAATTTTGTCATCGATGCATCTAATTTGAAAATGTCCTCCATGCGTTTGCCATAAACCTCCTCGAAAACTTACTAAGGCATGTAGTGTTGTAACGCCGATAAAAAAGTCAACCACGGACACTCACTATTACATGAAGGTAACATCAACGTTGACGAAGAACTTACTGATATTTGTCTCTGTTTCCTTTTTCTGTGACTGCTTCCTCATCATCCTCTGGAAAGGAAATTGACCAGAGTGAGACACGTCATAATTACGATTTCAACAATATATTGGCTTTACCACGTCCCACGTTAAAAAAATAAATTAGGACCACAAAAACCAGTATTTGATAACGTGAGCAACGATGCATATAGCCTTATTACCCTTTTTAGCCAACAATCACAAATTATGTCGATATTGCAACACGAATGGGAGTATTTAGAATATATATAGTGCCACTATCCAACGAGATGGCTAATATGAAAAGGCAGGCTCACCATTTTGTGCTTGACAGCTGGTACTGCATAGAGAAAAGGATTGAGAGCTGAGTTGACAGGTAAAATAAACACAGCCGTCCAAGCGAACATCTCAACGCCGATTTTAATTCCCGTGAGAGCTAAAAGACCTGTCAACATGATAGACCATACTGCAATTAGATCAGGAGTGGAAAATCGTAATTTCTGTGCTTACCTTTTGAATTAGTATTATGAAATTGCATAAACAAATATGAATTAGGTATCATAAGATTTTGCAAGCTACAGACAAAAAATGATTTCGAGTGACTCACAGACTAAATGTGTTGATCACTTGCAGAAGAACGTTTTGTCAATTTTAGTCCTATTCCAATTTCTCCAATAGTTTGGAGCAGCGTGCAGAGCATGGGGTGGCCCACCCAGACCCAGAACGCATACTCACTCATAATCCCAACAGGAAACCAACACAAGAAGTCGGTAGACACAATCAGTAGAAGCCTCTTGGCAACCTCCACATCTTGGGAACCTCTGTCCTGATTTGACATCACTGATACTTCTTTGATTTTCCTGTAGATGCTATATTGCCCAAAGGCAATGAAAATGAAGGCAACAAAGTTCAGACCTATGAAAACACATGCAGAATAGATCCATCCGGGCTTCTTCTCTGTGAAGAACGGCACAGCCAGGCATGCTCCATTTTTATTGTAGAATTCCCAGTTGGACAGTTGAGGTAAGAGAGGTATACCAGCAATAACCCCTGCAGCAATCCAGACAAGGACAGACCAAGCCATTGCTGATCGGAATGTAATCTTGATTTGTTGGAATGGGTATTTGATAACCAAAAATCTATCAACGGTAATCAGACTTATAAACAGAGCAGATGCTTCTGAAGACAAAGTTGATAAGAATCCAGCTATCTTACAAAAGACACTAGACCTCCACTCTTGATCCTTCAAAACGTATATCCCTTGATACCTTGTGTCCGCGATGGCTATTATAAGTAAGTATAATCCCATGATAAAGTCAGACACGGCAAGATGTGTAACAAACACACTATATCCATTCATAAATGAACGCCTTTCCCAACATATTCGGAGACCAATAGACAGAATGTTGCCAGTAAGTGTCGCAATGCATAAAACCCATATCGCAACACGCAAGAATGAATTTGCCATCAAATCTTTGCATGATGATATAGACGCCTCTGGAGAAAAGCAGTTTTCAAGACGTGCGGGGCGATAGTGAGGGCAGCAGAGGTTATTTGTGTCAGTATGCAACTCAACCAGGTTAATTAAATCTTTCACAATGTACTGTCCATATGTTATAATGCTGTTCGTCTGTAGATACAATTGCCTGAGATATTGTAAACCATTAAATGCTCCGTCTTTCACAGTCGTTATCCCACTGTTGGAAAGATCTAACTTTTGCAAATGTCCCAGATGGGAAAACAGATCCTCTTCAATTGTATCGAGATGTGTACATTTCATATACAGTTCTTTTAAGTTGAGCAGTCCAGCAAAACTGTTTGAAGTTATATTCTTTAAATAATTATTAGACAAATCCAATACACCGAGCATGCCCAAAGAACTAAATATGAAATCAGGTATATGTGTCAAGTTGTTATTGCTTACATTCAGTTTCTTTAAATTACCCAGTCCCCAAAATATATTCTTCTGCAATAAATCCAAATCAGTTTCGGAAAGTATAAGATCCACAAGGTAGTCTAGCAAAAAAAATAAGGGATAAAAATGTGTTATATCAAAATGAAGAATTATTCTTCTTGTTTGAAGAGGAAAAAACAAGACATATGGACGAGGAAGGGCGTCCCAACACTCTACGTATCCTTCACGTTCAAGGCACGTACAATTCTTGGGGCATATGACGTTACACATCAGTTCATCATTTCCCCCAGAACAATCTACTTCCTTATTACATATAACCGAAGGGTGGAGGCAGTAATGGGCGCCAGGACATCGAAAGTAGCCAGGACACTCGAAGTTATCTGGAATATTGAGAACACATTCACTGGATTACATTTCATTTGGGTGTTATGAATAAATGTTTAAAGATACGTTGTTTGGAATTGTGTTTGATTTCATTTCCACATGACGCAAAGGCCTTTTACAATGGTCGAACATACAGCTGTATAATTACCTCATCATAAAACCTCACTCATACTGTAATACCCACGTGATTCATAGGAATTGATGATGTAGACAAAGTATGTGCACATCAATAAATTGACACAATCGTATTTGAATCATTAAAGGTGAGGTGAAATTGGGTTTAACGTCGCGTCCAAGATTATTGCACTTATATAGCGACGTGTATGCACGTGTGTGTGGCTGCTTGTACAAGTCCGGAATGATGCCGATTTATAGTGCTAGCTCACTGAGATACCATGCCGCAGTTTAACATGAATACCCCACTCAGACACAGTATACTGACTCCGAGCCGACCAGTCCTTATTTTAGCCCCTTAATGCCGAGCGCCAGACAGGGTAACAACAAGTACCATCTTTTAACGTCTTTTGGTATGACGCTGCCGGGGATCAACCCCCGGACCTTCCGGTCTCCGGGCGGACACTCTACCACTAGACCACGGAGGTGGTCGCTTTCGATAGATCGATGTTTTCATACGTAAGTTTTTGTGTGAAAAGACAAGTTAATTTTGACGTATCAAAAGTAATAAGATACCTGATTTTTATTAATTTATTATTGCCAATGTTGATTCAAGATAAAGTAACCTCCTATCCTGTCAACATAGGTACAGTAATGACTGAGTAAATGTGAACAATCCACTAAAGTAATTGTTCTTCTTAGCAGATAAAATACTCAGTTCAAACAAGTAAACTGTACACTGTAAGTTTATCTTCTCATCATGCACCAAGTCATAATACATTTGTCATTATGCTCATAAGATCAAAGGTCAGTTGAACTATGGATATTGCAGTTAAAGGAGTCAATCTTGTTATAAAGTGACTGCAAGAAATAAGAAATAAGGGGAAATATAGCACGGAATAATGCTATTTTAACATTGTAATACTGTCATAATACTAGTATTAATGAACAAAACTTCACTAATTAAGATATATTTTTGACAAAGTCTACTATTATGAATTACTGCCGAACTAAAAAATGTTACAGTCAACTCACATAACCAAGATTTCTATTAAATACTCTTTAATTGTTAAGTAAATAAGTTTGAAAAATCCTCACAAAAAACGTTGGGTAAAATCTATGATTAGATCTAGTGCTGAGCGAGCGAGATTTGAATGCAACAAACAGATTCGAAAGTCGTGTGAAATACAGGCTAAATAACGTGACCGAATATTGCAGAAAGTGATGCTGGTAAGGTAATTATATTGAACACAAAGGGTAAGTTTGGGTCCCCACTCCCTTTCGTACTAAATGACCCCTTTGCTCTCAAACTCCTCCCCTATAGGGTCCGAGACTTCTACGATAATAAAGCCGTATTCTTGTGGTGTCACCTTCATGCTGTTTATGGGCGGGACATGAATGATGTAAGACGTCACGTGTCTGATCATGTGACATTCCTTATATGGTCACGTTACTGCGAATGCCGCTGATTGTGTAGTTATTTGTAAATTCAAAAAATGGGGCTTGTACATAAATAGAAAAGAATTGACTTGGAGAGCAGTGACATCATCTTTGCCTAGGTATGGGACGAATAAGGAAATGTATGACAGTTATTTTGTTGAATACATCAGAAGAATTGGGATTTTGTGAGAAAATTGTAGAGGCACCATAGTTTTTATCATCTTTGTGAAGTTGCAGCTTCATATGCCTTATAGATTCAGAGGCGATCGAAATGGAAACGTTCAGTTCACGACGACCGGGTAACTGAACGGACAGATGAAGGCCAATGAACCATGACATTTTAAAGCTTAGATGACGCAAATCAAACCAATATCACATTCCAATGTAACCAGGATCTAAGTACGAGTATACATATATGCTCTCTTGACAAAATCTAGATATCCAAAATAATTGATGAGATAAGATATCCTGTGATGGACATTAATTATTTCTCTGCTTACCACAGTCATGTTCCTCCTCCCCATCTATACAATCCATGGTCCCGTCACAGACAGACTCGATGGGGATGCAGTAGCTGGAGGGGCATCTGTAGAAGCCGATTGGACACACCAGGGAAGAGCCTAGAAAGCAACATACACATGCTTTAGCTGCTGAAACAGGAGATGTCTCCCGAATTACAAAAGTGACACTGAGATACGTATGAAAGTTATGTTTAAACTTTACAAACTGCTTCATACATTTTTACACACCCTGTTTTCATTGTTACTGCGTTTTACCACATGGTATGATTGATTTTTCAATGCAAAGTTACGCATCACAGCATATTTTGTCAGTTTTGCCAGTTTTGTAATTAACCCAAATATATGATTCAGAAAAAAATCAACTGTTATATCTTGTGTACTACTGTTGAAAAACTTATCAATTTGTAAGAATGGTTTTGGATGATAATTAGAATCTTACTCTCGTGTCTTATCAAATATACCAAGAGACACTTCGGTGAGATTCTGTATGTGTAGAGGTATATTTCCATTTATTAAAGAGAGAGAAGTAATACAATATACAACATGGGTTCTAATGCTGCAATAGAACATATTTTGGATCCAAATAACCTTATGAGTGTTCGATGCATTCTCGAAGTTATGTCGCCCAAATCAACATAATGATTGAAAGGTGTTAAGAACATACTGCAACTGCTGTCCTTGTAATTGCCAAAACTCTTTCCATATCCATCAGGGACCATGATGCAGTCAGGTGTTGAATTCAGTTGCATTTCCATTGGATCTGAAATGTAATATTTACACCAAATATTGTAAAAATGACACGTTATCATTTTATATGATTACTCCCTAAAGGTAAAAAAACCGCGATTGTACAAAATTTACTACAGTGATGAAGTCCCTGAAAATATTGCTTTAAATGTAAGGCAGTTGTCAACATAGAATATGCTAAGTCTTTGAAAGGCATCTTCCTTATAGAATATGCTGTATGTAGTTGCGGATGCGGTTATGATAATAAACGGTATCATTTACATCGATAATATCGATGTCGATGCTTCATTTTAGTATTATCAAGAGCTTGTGGAGTAATGTCACGCTCATCTTCCATACGTCCCCCATTACAGTCCACAAGGCCATCTCTTATCCAATGGTTTGGTATACAGGTGCCATCGTAGCAACGTTCTTGGCGGCATGTGTCTAAAAGTGGTAGAAAGGATTTCTTCAGTTTAGATCGTTAAATGGATACATTTTTAATGATACTAACTCTTAACGTTTGTAAAAGTTATACATTGTTTAGTAGGAAGTTCATTTATTAAGGGTCAACGCAATAGACATCTTCATTTGATAAACTAGAAACGTAATGTGGAATACAACTTCTCAATCTAACACAAATTGAAGAGGTTCTTAAACACAAATGGACTTCGAAAGAACTTTTTGCATACATTTGTATGTAAAACCAAATCAAGAAAAACATTGACTTTTACCAAAATCGGTCAGACTGTATACGAAAAATGTCAAGTTAATTTTCACCTTCACAATTTGTTTCGTCTGATTTGTCGAAACAGTCGTAATACAGATCACACCTTGAATCTTCGTCGATGCACTGGCCAGTTTTGCAACGCCATTTTCTCCCCCAACATGTCGGATAATCTGTGATGAAGATTTTCTTATTTCTTACATTCACATGTTTGGTTTGATAATTACGTTTGGTTCCTTGTTTCATAATACATAATAATGATATAAGTTTATAATTTTATATGTTTGAAACATTTTGTCCGATAATTACCACTAACCACCCGATTAAATCCAACTGAAGTTATCATTTGCTGAATATAATACTTACTACATTTTTCGTCTGAATTGTCTCCACAATCATCGAAGAAGTCACAGTAAAAGGCCAGGGAAACACATCTACCATTATCACACTGGAACTGCCCTTGATTACAGTCATCGTCGAACCGAGCTGTTACGTGATCATGAGAAGAGACTATAGTATGGTGAATGCTGTTTCTCATACCTTGTTTTCACAATGTGTGTAAGAGTATTACGAAATCTGCACTTTTATACACCATTTACTGCTGCAGTTATTTGGAACAATTAAATACTTACAGCAGTCCTTTTCGTCGGATCCATCTTTGCAATGATCAACGCCATCACACACAAGGAACTTTGAAATCAGTTCATTATTAGTGCAGTTGAAGGTATATTCAGTATACCCTCTGCTTGCATACATCTTCAGAGTGGGACCTATGATTTGCAAAAATAACAATGTTTTTGTTATTAATTGATTATTTTCATTCGAAAATGAGTAGACGACTTAGTATTGTTGTCCTTCCTGTTTAATATTTGATTGATCATGAAGAAGAAGAAGAAAGTCACACAATAGTGACACAACACGAACTGTTCTCCAGCATAGTACAATGGTATCTTTAGGGATAAGTGATCGCAGTTATAACGTCATTATTTT